GCCAACCACTCAAAAGACAAAGGCCCAAACCTGAATAAGGGGGCTCCAAGACAGGACTCTAGCAGGGGTGACAGTGGCACCCCGTCCTGCTGTTCATGGCCAGCTCAGCACTGACAGCAGCTGCTGGCGGGGGGTGGGGGCGCTGGGCATGGCCACAATCCTCTTGGACAGCATTAAAGCAGTGTTTTTATTTTTAAAAAAATTAATATGTACGTGGCTCTTAGTAATGGGCCAGGCACTTGTTCGAATGAACCAATATTAACTCATTTAATCCTCACACGAACATATTAGATATTATCATCTTGGCTCCAAGAACACAGCCAGTAAGAGGCAGTCTGAGTCCAGAATCCGTGCTCTGAACAATGACCCCAAGCTACTTTTCGATGTGGTGAACATGAAAACTTTACAATTTTCCATATTCTTGACCTAGAAATATCTCCTGTGAGAATTTATCCCATGGATCACCCAGCATCACCCAGAAGGCGTTCACAGGTGGGAATGTTGGTGCAGTGCGACAATCTAAAGAGCCAACTGTGAGGAGAGAACGACTTCAGAAGCCGTGGCACGCCGCGGAGCGGGCACAAGGCCTGTGAACCCCTCTCCCGCTCTCCCAGCACCCGCCACAGCACGCACCCACAGGGAGGAGCGGTCCCGGGGTTACGCGCGGGCTGGCACAAGACCCAGCAAAGGTGCTCACGTACTCTGATCTCTTTTAATCCAGACACTGTGCCTTTACGAGTCCAGTTTTACAGAGGAACAGCGCGGGCAGGCGGCACAGCACAGGGCAGAGCCTGCTTGAGGCTGCACACTGCCTGCTCTTTCCAGCCACTCGCTCAGTAGGCGCGGGGCTCAGGAGGGGCCTTGCTGCATAGGCATGCGGCTGCCCAGCCTCTGGGCCGCCTCCACTTACCTCCATGCGGGAGTTTCTCTCTGCAAGAGTCAAGTTTGTAGTTCTGTTTTTTTGTTGTTTTTTTAAAAAATCCTCACCTGAGGATACTTTTCCATTGATTTTTAGAGAGAATGGAAGAGAGAAGAAAAGACAAGACAGATATATCCATGAGAAACACATCAATTGGTTGCCGCCTGTATGAGCCCAGACCTGGGCCCAGGCTGGGGAGGAGCCTGCAATCTAGGTACGTGCCCTTGACCTGGAATCAAACTCAGGACTCTGGTGCACAGGCCGACGCTCTAACCACTGAGCAAACCGGCTAGGGCAAGAGCCAATAGTTTGACCTTTTTTCACACACAAAATTATACTGCAGGTACCAGAAATGTCAGATACCGAAGGACCATAATCTGCTATCAAAATCAGCCTTTACCTGACCACCTAGAGAAAATTATCTTAAATGTAGAAAAAAATTAATTTATTGGAAGCTATGTGCTAGACACTGTTTTGAGTGCATTGCATGTACTATCTCATTTAATTCTCCTACTTACTGTTAAAATAGGAACTTTTTGTTCACACATGAATGGAATCAGGGGTTTTAGCAGATGGCCCATGCTCTGGGCAGTGTGGTCGACAACACAGGAAAGCAGTACCTGCAGGCCAGGGTCTCCGAGGCTCACCACCCACACTCACAGCCCTGGGAGCTGCTCCGAGGAGAAACCGCGCACCTTGCGGTTCCATCCACAGCCTGGCAGGCCTGGGGCCTTGCCGCCACGCCTGCTCCTCACAGCCTCCTCGGACTTCGAGCTGCTTGGCTCACGCCAACTAACCACGCTGGTCAGTCACCAGGAGGGCACACGCCCAGCACTGGCCTCCAGGTCAGTCACGGAGGGAGCAGGTGGGCGTTGTAGCTCCCAGTGGAGGGCAGAGCCCGCAGAGCCCTCTGGTGGCAGGCGTTTGGGTAACAGTGAGAAGACAGGTCCCTTTGGTTTGTGCTGTGAAAACTCATATCCCAGCATGAAGCAGAGCCCAGTCCCCCAGGGCGCTGGACAGCACCTCCTTCAGAACAAGCTGTCCGACACCCCGGCACTAGGCCTCCGTGAAGCTTGCACCAGACCGTGGCGAGGGAAGGCAGGTCCCGCACCGAATGGCACCGGGCGTGCGGTGCTCAAGCACCGGCCCTGCCTCTCGCCCAGCACTCGGCCCCGAGCCTGCGGGTGAATGAAGGGGCGCCCGCCTCTGACCTGTAAGACTTCCAGTCCAGGAAGTGAAACCTTCACGTCCTCGGAGTGGGTGGGGGTGCGTGCAGAGTGACTCCCCGCAGGAGCCCCTCACGTGCTCACTGTCTCCTCCCAGAGAAGGTGCTATGGGCCGCACTATATCCCCCACGTTCTTGAATGGAAGCCCTGACCCCCAATACCGTAGAACAGGACTGTTTGGAGACAAGCCTTTAAAAGGTGAGTATGTTAAAATGAGGCCATTAGGATGGTGTCAGGAGAAAAGCAGGACAGACAGAGGACCCCAGGAGCGCATGGAGAGGCGTCGTGAAACCAGCCCTGCCGACAGCGTGGTCTGGGCCTCCGGCCCCAGAGCCGTGAGTGGGACGCTGCTGTGGATCCCGCAGCCCGGTTGGGAGGATTCTGCTATCACAGCCCCCCAGACGGATACTGACAGTCACGATACTCCTCCAACTCAGAATGTCAGTAAGTGATCACAATAAACCTAAAGATTATTTGGTTAATACTTTTAATTACATGGTTATAATTATACAGTTTCCACTCTTCAATATTTTGTATAAAACCAGTTACAATACACATTATTTCAAATGCAACAATACATATCGAACTACATAGATATGCAAAGTTTACACGCCATTATGAAGCTTTATCTTAAAAAATACCTTCAGGAAAATAAACATTCATTCAACCAGTTCTCTCAGCTTTATAAAATGTGGTTAGAAATATACATTTTAATTTAAAAAATCAAGACAATGATTGACCAAATACTGATTCATCAGTTACATTTTAAAACTTTTAGTAATCTGTACATGAGTGCAGGTTAGATAAAAGTATGCAAATTATTAATATAAAACCGCAGCACTATGCCCAGATGAAGCTATCTGCTGACATTTAACGAGGCGGTCGAGGAGGTAATTTCCTTCAGCGCAGGCAAGCGGCCGCCGCGCCCGCAGTGCCCCCCGGACGTGGAGAAGCTGACCCGGGTGGGAGAGCAGCAGCCAGCCTCAAGGACAGCGTTAGTGGGAGGCAACTGTTCAAGAATTAGAGTCGGTTTTAAAGTTGTTTTTGAGGAGCACTGCTCTACCGATACGACACTTACTGTTTAAAATGCTCGAAGAGAAGCAGTTAAGCTCCTTTTAGAACAAACATCAAAGGACAGGGAATCGGGCGGAGGACCGGGCCCAGCACGGCCCAGCCAGGGCCGCGCCCAGAGGAAACCCTTCGTCTTGTGAGAGCACGGGGCGGCCTCTCAATCTGTCTGGGCCCCAGAGAAGAGGCAGAAATCCCCGCTGGGAGGGGAGGAGGGCGGGTCAGGAAGTGGGTGGGTGACAGGCTAAGGGGCTCCAGTTTGAACAGAAGGTTCTGGAGACGCAAGGAGCAGGGAGCCGCTGCCCTGGCCGAGCAAGGCTGCTCACGCACGGGCCGGAGACTCCTAGCGTCCCTTAACCCAGAACAGAAGCCTGTCTACACTCCTGGGGGCCCCGTGGTGCAGACACCTTCCTGTGGACCGCCCCTGACTTTGTCCCCAGAACGCTTCAAGGGCACCTAAAAATACCCATTCCTACTTTTAGTTCCAATGAAAACCGTTTGGTGTACTTTCAAAGCTACTTAAGGCTCTTAAGTGAAAGGACGCTCTCAATAGGACAAGCCGTTTCATATTCCATAGCAACAAGGTCTCCTATAACAAGGGCTCAGCAAGAGAACCGGAGTCTGGGTGTGCTGAAGGCTCGGTTGGGGGTGGGGTGGAGATTCCACTCTGATTCATAGCAAGGACTTTCCATCAGTCCGACCCAGACACTTCCTGGATCCTAGATATGTCTCTCAGAAGTTTGACGCTGTTGCTATGTCCTCTGTGTTCCAAATCACTAGTTTCCTATGACTAATTTCAGGAACAAGGCTGTTAAACACAAGGATTTTTAGAAAGAGCCACAGGGATAGCAATTCTAACTGGAAATGTGAGCAGCCAACACAAAAGGCAACTAGTAAAATAAAAAGTGCTGAGGTTGACACCGACGCCCACATTGTTCACTCTTGGCCTAGACACCAAATGGCTTCCTCTCTGAGAGGGGACAGCACACTGACTTGTTCTGAAGTAATGAAAAGCCAAGCCAGGCACGGTTCAGATGGGAATTTGATTTTCACAACTGCCTGGACGATTTATGCAGGAGGTGGCCTTTAAAAGTATGAAGGGACGAAGAGCTGCCCTGAGAATGCAGTGCTTATGCTGGGCGGGCTGAAACCTAGTATTGTCTCCCAGCACAAGGCAGCAGTGGAATGCTGCTCCTCCCACCCAGAGCTCACTGAGAAGCCGTCTCCCACCAGGGGAGTCCGTCTATGAACTTCCAGGGGCAAAAAAACCCTCCATTTTTCTGAGATCTAGTCCCCTGGCAACCCCCACAGCGCCTGATGGGGAAGAACTGCTTGCTCCATTTTTCTGAGATCTAGTCCCCTGGTGTGTGAAAGCGGGCGTGGGCAACCCCCACAGCGCCTGATGGGGAAGAACTGCTTGTTTGGCCAAAACAACGGCATCTCCCACGTCCCCTCAAAGCTAGTCGACCCCCTCAATTACTCTGAGAGGAAATACCAAATGGAGCAAGGCCTTCCGGCTACTTGTGCATTCACAGACTTTACTCTATTTCTACCAACTACTTCTTAGTCCTCATCGTTTTGTTTAAAAGGCAGCTTAAAAAAAGGAACTGCCTACTGACCTGACTCATTCATCTGGCAAGGCGAAGGCATCCTGCCTTTCAGTACTGTACCCCCGCCCCCCCCCCACACACACACACAAGGAGAGGCTGACACTGGCTAACAGGAACTAAAACCATTCACTTCAAAATATTTTGAAAAATATTCTCTTATTTTGGGCCATATTTATATTTTAGCAGCAAATAAACTTTTTTTTTTGTGTGATTGCTTTGCATCAGACTCTGCTGTGCTGCTGCAGGGGGAGGAGAGAAGGCACTCTGCAGAGCTGATTCCCTAACCGAAGGCCACAGTGAGGGTCTTAGTACAAACTGAAATCCAGATGCGAATACTGTCGCTGAAATCCATCATGCTACAGAGAAAGGCCCTAGTACAGCAGGAAGCTGCTTTAAGCGCCCAGTATTTGGGATCACTGTTTCCAAGGAGAAACACTGAAAGTGTGGGTTTTTCATGCGCTGAAGGAAATACAATTTTAATTTGTATGACTCGGCAACCAAATAGTGGGCAGTCTTGGATTTCTTCCTTCCCCAAATAACATCAAAGGCATGACTCCACGCCTGCCCACCAGGGCCAGCTTCCCCTCCTGAGTCTGTAGCTACTGCCCAGGCGCCCGCAGGTGTGAGGTCACAGCGCCGTGTCCGCACGCAGAGCTCACACGGTCTCCGGGATAAAGCACTCTTTGGTGGAACGCGAGCAGCTCGGGGCTTAGCAGGTAACGTCACACAGTGTCACAAGCGTTACAGTGAAGAGGGTGACACCAAACAGAATCGACCACTGAGGACCGTTTCCGCAGGGCCTGTTCCATCTCTGTACATTCGGGCGCAGGGCGAACAGAAAATAAATAGGTGAAAGGCCTCCGTCAGACCTGTCCTCCGAGGCCAGCAGCGAGCGCGGCCACCACAGGGACACACGCACCAGAGCGCCAGCTCCCGCCGCGCGGGCCCTGGTGTTTACACCTGAGACTAAGTGTGCAGCAGCTGCTCCACGTGGGCGCGTCTACAAACGGCGAGCCGACTGTCTTCCAGTCCCCCTCGTCCCCGAGCCCGTGCAGCTATTTAAACTCCAGGGGACAGTTTCTTCACTGAACAAGCTTCTTAGGTGGAAAGCAGCTAAGGCTTTTGCAATTTTGTTTAGTTTCCAAATAAATTGTGCTGAGTCCTGATGTGGTTCTATTCCCAGTCTTCCTTCAGTTCTGGTCACAGGTTTCTACTTAACGCAACACTGTCTTAGTCCTCGAAATGGGGGGACTAGGGGAGAAAGAAAAGGACTTTACCATGAAGGTTCTCAAATGTGGCACAGGCAGTTATTGAAGACAAGGAAGGCAACATAATAAAAAATACTGACATGCTAAAAAGTACACACTTTGTATAATTCTTTAATGACAAATACTTTGGAAGACAGTACAATACCAACCATAAAGACAAACAGGAGAGAAAGGCAAAGCAGAAAAGGGTTCAGTTCTGCAAAAAATAAAAAGAAAAACAAAACAATAAAAACACAATAAGAGGGGGGTGGGGCAGAGGCAGCGGAGCAATGAGAGTACCATAATGCCATTAGGGGCATTTGCTGCAAAGCACTCCTTTTCCTTCTTTCCCTCTGAGGAACCAGGCTGTGGGAAGAGCGAAAAGAACGAAAAGATAAAGAAGTGTTACTCGGTTATTCCCAAAGCCGGGATTCGGTCACAGAACGGTGGGCGCCACAGGCAGCTTCCAGCTCAGCCCAGCGCAGTGCAGCCCCCAGGGGCCGCCTGGCACCGGCGCCAGAACCACCCCGGCTGCCCCTCAGTCACTGCCCCTGGTTCATCCTCACGCTATCTCCCTAGCTTCCTCCCGCAATTTATTACCTTCAGCTAAATAGCAGCTTTCAGAGAGAAACTAACGCAAAAGCAGAGTCAGAAAAACCAATTCCGATCTGGAGGCCGACTCTACCAGAGCAGCTCACGCACACCCGTCAGGTTCTCAGAGACCAGACGGCAGCGCGGAGCTGAGGAGGAAGGTCCAGGGCTGCTCGCAAGGGGAAAGCCTGGAATTTCAAAGGGAGATTAATGTCTTAAAAGGGTCGGAGGCCAACTCTACCAGAGCAGCTCGCGCACACCCGTCAGGGTTCTCAGAGACCAGACGGCAGCGCAGAGCTGAGGAGGAAGGTCCAGGGCTGCTCACAAGGGGAAAGCACCTGGAATTTCAAAGGGAGATTAATGTCTTAAAAGGGTCACCAGCATTTACACACAAGAACATTGAGACATAACATTCTGGCCTTCTACACGGATGCACGTGTGGAGATGATGGTGGTAATAAAAAATGAAAGCCCCGAGGTGGTGAACAGTCACTGGGACCTGAGACGCTAACGGACCAGAAGCAGGGACAGGTGTGACGATGGCAAGAATCACAAATGAGAAGACTTAAGCCAAAAAGAAAGAGGAAGCCCTCACGCGAAGGGCGGTGAGGAGCATGGTTTCAGGGCCGAGGGAGGAGCCCTCGCGGCAGGATGTTGGGGCCCAGGGTCCCCCAGAGCAATGAGCATTCGGTAGGTTTGGCAGGTGGAGCAGAAAGTGATGGTCCCCAAGGATGCAACCTGGAATAGAAAACCCCTTGTGCATCTGCAGTTTTCTTAGAAAATGGATGAAGTTATGATTTAAAAAAAGAAAAGAAAAAGACTGCCACAAAGAAAGGGCGTCAGCTGCTGGAAGCACGCACCCACTGGGCGAGCCGCGCAGCCTCACGCGACGCAGGTGGCGACCTTCTCCAGACCCTCCGGGAGGCCTCCAGCGAGTTAACGCAAGGCCCTGGAGAACGGGCCAACTCTTCACTGCATTTAAGAGCGACGTGAAGGTGGTTTCTAGCTCTGACAGGAGGCGGGAGGTGCAGAGCGCTCTAAGGATGGGGTGTCAGGTATCTGCTCCTTTAACATGTTTGTGGGAAATTCTCCCGCGTTGTGGAGACTCTCAGTAAAGAGAGCCGCAGCAGTGGGCAGTGCGTGTGGGGAGGTCTCCTCCAGAACCTCTAAGAACAGAACAGAACGCGGGAACGAAGTCAAGCTCCTGCTGCTGGGGCGGCGTGAACAGCACAGACCTGCAGGAGAGAAGGCAGCTCCCGGCCGCGGGCAGGCCGGCGCCTCGAGGGCACGGATGAGCCACTCTGAAACGTGTGCTACTCTTTCCATATTGTTGTCTAAGGAAAGAATCATCTCAGCTCCTATTATTCTGTCCTAAACTGGATTACATACAAATGTATTAATTCCTTCACCATCCTCCAATCAGAAGCCAACACTATTCAGTGGGTAAAGCTTCCGGCTGTAGCTGGGCTGCCATCGCTTCCTGGAAGCTGGGAGTGGGACCTGCACATGATGTATTTGTCCTTCTTTGGTGAGCAGGGGACTCACAAAGTGACCTAGCACCAGCCCACGCCCTGGAGGAGGGCAAGGAGACCCCGCCAAAGGGGGTGGTGGAACACAGCGAACCCAGTGCACCCTCACTGGTTCCCTTCCCTGCCCCTCCCAATCTGGAAAGTCCATTTCAGAAACTTAAAAGAAGCCTTTGTGCTTTTCAGCGCTCTCCCCGGTGCCTGGACACGGCCTTGGGCCATTTCAATGGTAAGTCAGGCACCTCAGACCCTCCGAGCCTCGGTCCAGGGACTGGGGAGGTGCTCACTGCACAGGCAGCACCTCTGTGAGAAGCACACGTTTAGGTCACTGGCCACGCCCTCAGCGGAGAGGGTGGCAGGGCGCAGCCCGCCCCGGCTCCTGGACTCTGTCCCTGAGGCCCGCAGCGCACAATCCAAAGCAGCCGAGTGAAGGTGCCCGACACCCGGGCGGCGAGGGATCCTGAGCCACGACCCGCAGAGAGCACGGCCATTCGAACATGTCCAACTACCACCAACAGCTCCCTATTTGAACTTTTAACAGTTAATTCACCTGAAAGTGTCCAAGTTAAAACACTCCCATTACACTCCATTCACTGTAGAAAAGTTCGGAAAAAAGCAAATGATTAAAAAAAAAAATCCTCAACTGTCCTAACTGGTAATATCTTGGCATATTTTCCTATATCTTATTTCAAAATACACAAATTGAAATATAAACATTTATAAATATTTGTTTGTAAATATTTATACATCTATAGATTTCTATACACATAAAGTATATCGTACATTTATAAAATTGAATAATTCATAATAATTGTGCATAGCTCTTTTCATTTATCGCTTCATGAGCATTTATCGAGATCATTAAATTTTCTTTAAAAACATGATTCTAGAATAGATATTCATTTGGTATAATTCATCAGTCTTTAGACTATTTCCTCCTTCTTACTGTTATATAAATAACATTTTGCTTTTATAATGTACTAAGTCTTTGGATTTGGTCAGTAATTCTCTAATATTCTTCTTATGTAGAATTAGTATGAATATTTGATAACTTTCTGATGAAAAATTATAAGTCCTAAAATCATGAGTCAGTGCCCAATTCTGAAACACTTGTATGGGCACCATCACATTCTCATATGGTAAAAGCACGCAGGAAAACTGTCCAAAGGGACCGGCAAAGACGAAGATGGCGGAGCTGAACAATTCCTTTAAGAAGGAACACACATGGAGTGGCTGGTCGCCAGCCAGAGCTCAGCACCCGATGGCTGCGCCACCCAGAGCCTCGCTCAGCACCTTTGACGGGCACCTCGGGCCCAAACCCCACCCCGGGGCAGAACAATGAAGAAGCACGACATCTGTGCAGGACGTTATAGGGAAGCCGTGACCTGTTAGAGGGATTCGCTGTGCCAGGAGCGCACCAGGACAGGGCCACGGCTGCCCCCTCCAGGCTACGTCACCGGAGCTGCCTGCCTTCCGCTCCAGGGAGGACGCCTTGGGCTGCCTGCTCCTCTCCCAGAGGGACCTGTTCATAGAATACGGTCATGACAGAGCTCCTCAGGCAACAGTGAGTAGCGGATGCGGCTGCAGAACATGCCCCCTCTCCCTTCAGTAATGAGGGGAAGACTCTGGGCTCAAAGGGAAAGAGGAGCCACGTGGCTGTGGACTGTGGCCAAGGTCAGTCCCTGAGTCACGAGGGATCACAGCCCCACTAAGCTCGCGTGTCCACCACACTTATGTGCAGCGAGCTCTCCAACAATCCTGCAGCACCGGCACAGAGAGGGTCCCCCGAGTCCTGGCAGGGAGCCTTGGGAATTCTTAATTGAGAACTTACAACAGGCTCAACTTGCCCACATTATGACCCAGAGACCACATCTCCAGGGTTGAACATCGTTTTTGAAAAACAAAACTAAACAAAATCCTGCATTAAAATGGTCCAGATTTCCTTGGATGACCAACACATCAAACACATTTGATTAATTCCCCATCACAGGGCCTCTGCCTTTGCCTGTCTCCATTCCTGTCCCCAGAAGGTGAAACTGGACACACAATGCCTGGAACTTTTCAGAAGACTCGGATTCTTTTCTCACCTTTTAAAACTGCTTTTCCTTGAAGCAGATCTGGTGGTTCTCTTAGCAATGCCTGCACTGCCAGAAATGCTAGGTTCAGATGTGTTACAGCTCTGAACACTGGACTGAAGAATTACTCTGAAAACAGTTGGAAAAAATAAGATTATATCACTGAACAATTTCCAAATACTTGACACAGGAAGGCATTGTTGCACCTGAGTGCAAATTATCTGATGGAGAATTGGTAGGATTTTCCACAAACACATGTTTACATCGAGGTCTTTTGAAATGAAGCATCTCATTTCCTTATGAAGGTTAGTCACACAAAGATAAACGAATGACCTGGCATTTCAACAAGCCCCACACCAAAGAACCAATCAGCAAAGCAAATGTTTGTGTCCCAAGTAAAAGTAAATCCTCAGAATTCCTGTCATGAAAACAAGAAATCATTTAAACCCCCCAAATTCTATAGAATGTGAATATAAATATCTAGACAATATTCACTCCTCAGAGCTGAGAGTAAGGGCAATAAACCCGGAATCAATACCAATTTCACATAAGACTTCACATTTTAAAACCATGTTCAAGCAATACGTGAGTTTTATTCGGATTACAACTACTTACTAAATCACCAAGTACCATTAACAAGAAAGTGAAACTGCCTGAACTCTGTGATACTTGATTTAATTAAACTATGAGAACCTCAAGGAGGCGATGCTACAGAGGTAAATTATTACGGAGGCAAATTCATGAATGAGAAAGAACTCCCTGAGATCAAGCCTCCGTGCAAGTGGAGGGTGTTTTTGTATTCCTCACTCAGTTGTCACAGGGAAAACATCAAAAGACTTTATACACATTCCTTTTCTTCAAGAGACTGAAATGCTCAAATGTATGCCCCCACATTTAGCAAAAGTACTCAATGTTATTTCTAAGAGAAAACACTGGCTTGAAAAAGCTTCCTGCTGGCATATGCAAACATAAATAACACAGCCAATAACAACGGACTTGGACCCAGCTCTTAAGAGTAAAAAGAAACCATACCAGCCTGGCCGGTGTGGCTCCGTGGCTGAGCACTGGCCCACGAACCAAGAGGTCGCTGGTTCCTGGTCAGGGCACATGCCCAGGTTGCAGGCTCCATCCCTGGTCGGGGGCGTGTGGGAGGCAGCCGATCAATGTTTCTCTCTCATTGTTGTTTCTATTTCACTCTTTCCCTTTCTCTCTCTAAAGTCAATTAAAAAAACACATATATTTTTAAAAAAGAAACCATTCCAACAAACTAGTGGTCCCGGGCTGCTGTCCATCGAGGGTTTCTGAAAGCCTCATGAGACAGCTCCGCCCCCCCCCCCCCCCCCCCCCGAGGGAAACTGATCCTCGCTAATGAGCCAATGCTGGACTCAGGACTTCTCGTAAAGTTTTACCTCCTAAATCAGTAATGGCGAACCTATGACACGCGTGTCAGAGGTGACACGCGAACTCATTTTTTTGGTTGATTTTTCTTTGTTAAATAGCATTTAAATATATAAAATAAATATCAAAAATATAAGTCTTTGTTTTACACTGTGCTGGCATATGTGACACAGTTGTGCGATTAAAGACACCCACTGCCCTGGCACATGAATTCTATGCCTGAAAACAAAGGATTTATTTAAAGTTTTTCTGATTACATAAAGGAGTGTCTGTCAAAGATGTGAATCTAGAATCAAGAATTTTTCATAAAGAAAAAATAAAACAACAAAAAGCAGCCAAGGGGGCTCCCGCTGCCGTTTCTGAGCCCAGGCCCAGGGCGCTCGCCACGCAAGGCGATTTATTCCATTTCCACAAACGGAGAAAGTGAGACACCAACTCCTCAAATGAGGCCACTTACAGCCCAAAGTATGGACAACTACTGCACTGTCCAATCGTTAATGTGAGGGAAACACGGGCCAATGCATCGCCTGCTTAGGAAATTTGAGATCTGATTTCTTAAATTGACAATACTATTCAAGACAAGAAATAACCGCTAAATCAAATTTTAGGCTGACAGGAAAGTTTTTTGTTTTTTAAAAAGTATTTTAAAGTATCTATCAAATTAGTGTAAACAATTAATGTGAATTAATATAATAATATTAATAACTGATGTGGAACTTTGAAATAGAGCATGGTAGACATTTAGAATGCATGAGTCACACTAATAAAGATTCGGGCCACCAGCTATTTGCATTAACAATAGAGCAGCTCTTACATCTGTAGATTATGCATCAATGAGGAGGGAAAAACCCAGCAACTGCGCTTAGATATTACCTGTGAGAGCTTCCAGCACCACCTGGCAGGGGATAAGCTGGCAGACTGCCAAGGTAATTGAGAAGGAACCATTCCCACCTTCAAACCAATCACGTGACCTTGCAGAGCAATAGGCAGCACATGCACCTTCTCCCCCCCACCCTCCCCAGCAGAACCCTCTTTAGCCCTTTCTTCTCTGCGGGATCTGCCGAGCCCCAATAGTCCCCAAGTTTGGACATGACATCTGCAACTTGAGGAATATTGTAAAGTAAAAACTATCAAGCCACAAAAGTGCCTTGAACATAAACATTCAATTCCAAGAAAAGAGTCCATCAGTGCAACTATGTACTATTTACACTGGCTGTCGACCACGGATGCCAAACGAGCTTTTGAAATGATGAGCCGGGGCCCTGCAACTCCGGACGCATATTCCCACTAAGAGTCTGACGCAGCAATCGGGGGGTCCTTCACGTCGCCAGCTCCAGGCACACCACCAACTGTGCCCACAAGCAATCGCCTCAAAGACAACTATGAGGACCCATCGTTACCTTTGAAAGCTTTGATTTCTGTAAATTCCAAATTAATCAATCAGGCTGAATGGATACTCTGCTGCGGGTCTAGTGCAATGGCGAGTGTTAGTAATAACAGAGAAAGGTCACACCTTCCTAGACGGTAAAAAGAAGAGAGCCTCATGGAGCCCATTTAAAAGTTACCCTGGGAAAATAAACAATCAAAGCACCTGAGTACTATTAGCAGCGCCGCCACCCATTTGGAGCTCATCTATTCAAGACAGCTTTGCCCTGGAAAACCACCGGGAAGGGCCATCTATATTGGAAACACAGAGTGTCAGCCTATGTGACAAGTTCGTATTTAATGACACATTTTAAGAAAAGGTCACAAATAGAAACACGTTAAGCAGCTTTTCCTTAATTTTGAAAAGAATGAAGTCTGCTAGGTTTCACAGTCTTTCCCCACCATCTGAAGACACTCAATGAAACCATAAAACACGAGTGGTGGTTGCCATGAAATTTTACTTTGGAGGAAGTCCTAGCAGGAACTTTTGTATTCACTAATAAAACTCCCAGGTCCGAGTTGGAACAAGAAGAGAAATCCTTGAATGAGCTAAAGAAAAAATGTCAGAGAATAAGGAAGGCAGCCTAGACAGGAGAGGGCGCGTTCTCGGCAGCCGCCAGGGCACCGCCGGGCCTGCGCTGGGTCTGGGCTGGAGATCCCGGCGAGCTCGTGCACGGTCTTCTGCAGGAAAGACGTCTCTTCTCGGGCACGGTATTCATTTAAGGGTGAAAGGTGTCCAGAGAACACAGAGTCTGTCCATGTCCCCCTGAGAAAGGCATTTGGGTTGCTTTCGGGGAAAGAAGGAAGGCAGGAGCAGCGCTGGTCACGCAGAAACACAAACACAGACAAGACTCCAGTCTTCTCCGCTTCCCTCCGTCCAACATCCAGTTCTGAACACGTGACTGTGAGGGGAGGCAGGGAAGCGAGGTCGAGGAGAGAGCTCCGCAAACTCACGACAGAGACTTGCTGGGAAGCAGCTGCTGCGAGAGGCTGTGTACACGGCCTCGAGACCTCCTGGCTATAAAGCCCGATCTTTACCAACAGAAGAAAATCAGTGCGAAACTTACTTCTGCTAGATTGGAAAGGATATGCTAAAAATATTTACTCTAGAAACTAGAGAAAAGTTGTACAGACAAGTAATGGAAGGAAAAGCACCCCAAAGTAACTAAATATTTTTAAGAGGGACAGAAATTGCTACTTCAAGAAATCTGTTAAGAGTCAGCACAACTTAAACACAAAGCCAGTGGCTGAGCATCGACTCAGGAGCCAAGGATCGCAGTTCGATTCCCAGTCAGGGCACATGCCCGGGGGGCGGGCTCGATCCCCAGAAGGGGCCGTGCAGGAGGCAGCCTATTGATGATTCTCTCTCATCAGTGATGTTTCTATCTCTCCCTCTCCCCTTCTCTGAAATAAATAAAAACATTAAAAAAAATAACAAAAAAATCAAAGTGTGTTGTTTTTAATGACTCTTGTATGAAAAGAATATGAAGGGCCCCCCGCCCTGACACCACACCATGAGTTGAGTTTTCGAAAAAGGACCTTTGAGAAAAGGCAAATCAATAAAGCGCATAAAAAAAACAACAAAAAAATCAAAGTGTATTGTTTTTAATGTCCCTTGTATGGAAAGAATAGTGAAGGGCCCCCCTCCCTGACACCACACCATGAGTTGAGTTTTTGAAAAAGGACCTTTGAGAAAAGGCAAATCAATAAAGCGAGGAGAGCTGCTAGCGACAAAAACATGCATCATGGGAAACGGCAGCAGTGAGCTAGTAGAGAAATGGGTGGGACACTTACACAGCAGCTATTTGTCAAAGGGTCCGATGGCTACTGTGCTCTTAAACCATCGAGACAGAATAGCAGGATGGGAAGAATGTAGTCACAAACAATCCACCAGATGACAACACTACACAGTGCAGAGGTCAGCACAGCTAGGGAACATCTGGAAAGGGGTGAAGGGAAAGAACAGATGTTCAAACTGAGAAGCCAAAATAAATAAAACAATAAATAAATGAAGCCATGTGTAAATTTTAGACACCCTGTGATGATGCGGAAGGGTGGGAAACAAGGATGGAGTTTTGCTATATTATGTTGGAAAAAAAGGCTGTCTTGCCCTGGCCGGCATGCTCCGTGGTTAGAGCGTCCAGTGATTCCCGGTCAAGGGCATGTGCGGGAGGCAACCAACTGATGTGTCTCTCTCACATCGATGTTTCTCTCCCTCTGTCTCTCCCGCCCCCTTCCACTCTCTCTAAAAATCAATGGAAAAATATCCTCGGGGGAGGATTAACAACAAAAAAATGCTGTCTTCAGTATTAAACTAATTTGACACTTGGTAAGAACAGAGTAGGCCCAATCTTTAGTTCAATAACTGCCCATGTTAATATAATTGTATGATACAGAAATCAAAGTTGTTGTTATAGGGTTGAAATTCTTCAAAAAGCATGATATGCACACACAAAAAACTGAACCAAACCAGAGGGGAAAAGGAGGCAAAACCAACCAACTGATAACTAACGCCATCCATCCCCTCGGAGGCACCATTAGCAGCAGACACAGCATAGTGGGGCTGCTCTCACTTCAATGGAGCCATATTCTGTATCATCCAGGAGGTGCGTATCCTGAAAACAAGGATTGCAGAAGTACAGGCAACCCAGACAACACGACAAAAGACAATTATCCTTATAAACTAATACAGTAAGTCCTCACTTAACATCATCGATGATTCTGCAACTTTATGCAAAACAAAATACGACAAAACCAATTTTACCGTAGACTAATTGGTATTAACAAAAGTTAATCTCCTACAGCATCTCATCAGTGTTATGAACAAAGTGACGTTATTGGAGGACCTGCTGTACTGTACACATTTCCTTTGTTGTTTTTCTCATGCAACTCAACTCGGCTTTCAGCTTGGTGTTTCTTACTCCCCTGCCTGGCTTCCAGCAGTGAGGAAGGGACCTCCGCACAGTTGGGAGGGTGGTAACGCCTTCCAACTACATTTCCAAACGGTCACCGACACATCTGTGACCAATAACAAAAGGCTCCATTGAGTCTTTGCTTTGTGCAAACTATTGGGCGCAAACTATGAAGATTGTACAGACATCGTCATCAATGTCTGTCATCTTAATCACTGAAGACTAGGTGCCAGGCCCAGGCATCCTATGTGGGCGTGAACCCAAATCTAGACCACACTCTCTCACTCCTGCCAGCAAAGAAAAACCAAACCAAACCTGCTGCATGGTAAGGTTACAGGCTTAATAGTTACCCAGAATGTAATCAGTGACTTGGAGCAGTACTGGACCCCACCAATCCCAATTTTCACTTGTAGTTACTGACTTAACAGTTATCTTAAAGGCAGAATGGCCTGAATGTCCAGGTGTCTGCCGTATAGACCTTTATTTGCTCCTCTAATGAAGCTCCTGGCATATGAATTATTTTCCAGGGATGAAAAACACACCCGTCAACACTGTACCGTTAAGGGGGGTTTAAGGCTTTTCAAGGCGAATTAGATCTATACTTTTGCATGTTCCTGTGTAGGATACATTTCCCCTCTTCATGAAGCATCTCATTTAACCACAACAAACTAGCAGAAATGATCAGTATGCAGATAGGCAGCATGGGGGAAGTTATCAAATCTACGAAATCTACTTGAGCACAGACAGCCACGTACTTGCCATCATTCCCGACGATCACCTCCAGGTCATGGAGCTACATGACCTACTGTCTTCACGGTGGGCAGGATCACACAGGCTTTCTGAGAAAATGACTATTTTACAATTTCTAATGACTTTCACTTTCCCCGAATATTGACTATAAAATAGAAACCGGTAGTTGGATTGGTATTTTACGTACCATACCTTTCTCTTAAGAATCACATGTTTCTCACTAACTTTCCTTATGATGAGTATTTTCATTTGGATTTAAGTGCCAATAGCAAAGAAAAATAACTTGCCCGCGGTGACAGGGGAGTCAGTCGGAAGGCGGGGATTGAATTCAGGTTTCTCAATCTAAACTGCAGTTGAAAACTCTCTCAGGGGACTTTTCTTTCTAAAATAACAACAAAGACTTGGGAGGGGAAAAAAATCTCCAATTGATCTCCTTTTTTAGAGCCAAGAGAGCTACAAATAAGAGCAACAAAGAGATGATTTTAATAGGGTTTCAAAGAACAGAGGAGAGGGCAGGCAGGCTGCTGCCCAGGAGGGGAAGGTGCTGAGACTGACCGAACGTCCCAGGGCCTGTGCACACAATGGGGGGGGCTTTGGCCTTTTCCTTCAAAAGTGTGGCCTCTAAGCCTGCTAACTGTGCCTATGAGGGGGACAATTTGGGGGCTATTCTATTATTTTTGGGTTATAATGATAGTTTTTTTTTAACATTTCTAACTTTTACCATTTTAATTGGTTTTAATTTATAACAAGAGTGCTTCAGAGCAAAGGGCCAGGGTCCTCGTTTGGCTTTGGGGTGGGGGCGAGGCTGGCTCCCCCTCCCCCGCCCTCGCCAGTTCCTCATTCACCATCACTGAGCACCCTCAGCTTCCCCCCAGGGCCTCAAACACCAAGGGGAGAGGAATGGCATCTAGTGTCACCTTCACATTTAGGATGTCAGTTTTCATTTACTGTCTTTTATTTTATCACAATCGGAGACAGATTTCCCATAAGCCCTATTTAACAAAATATTGGACCAGAACTGTCATCCCAACTGGAGAAGGCAATAAGCTGTTGAGAAATAAACAGATGCTGCAGATTCTTAAAAACAATACAAAACACCCAGGCAGATGAAAAGCAGCCACAGAATCTCCCTTCCTGGGGCTTCCCACGCGTGGCCTGGGCAACGGCACCTGCCGCTCCGGGAAGCTTGCCGGAACGCAGGCCGACACAGGCCCGTTGCCCTGCCGGGCCCAGCTCCCCCAGGAGACTCGTGCACACTGACGTCTGACAGGCTCTGCGTTGGGCACTGCCTGTTGCCTCCATCAGGTCTAAAATGGGCTTCAGAATAATTATTTGGAGGGACTATCATGTTTCTAAATAAAAATAACCCATAAAGCTTTAAATAAAGACTTTTAATGAAATTTTAAAAAATGGCACTTGGAAAAATTACATAAAATGTACAAGCATTCTAGCTGATGGCAACCCCATTGCAAAGATAATGCTTAAATGGTGCCTACAGTCAACACCGATGCCCTCCACTCACATAGCTCCTTATTCTGGAAAATTCTATTCTTCTCTTGGATCTTGGAAGGACGCCTGAGGCAGAGGCCCAGCACAACACGTGCCTCAGGGGCAATTCTACGTGAGAAGTTAAGATTATTAGGAGATACCAGGGAAGAACTATTTTTAATGAAAAACAAGGCTTCCTCTTCTCTGCCATGAACATTTACTGTCATTAGCGCCTTATGCACCATATTACAAGATGCTTAATAACTGAATAACTGGCCTCTGTCCACCACAGAATAGGGGGAGGGGACTGGAAACTGGGTGCCTCACAACGATGAGAGGTTATCGGAAGGACGAAGTCCAGTGTCACAGGTGGGAGCATCTACTGAAGAATACCCTACAGCCCTGGTCGGGTGGCTGAATGGTTGGAGCATTGCCCCGTCCACCAAAAGGTTGCAGGGTTCAATTCCTGCTCAGGACACATATCTAGTCTACAGGTTCAATTCCTGGTCAGGATGCATATAGGAGGCAACCAATGTTTCTCTCTCACATCAATGTTTCTCTTTCTTCTTCTCTCTCCCTCCCTCCTTTCCTCTCTCTCTAGAATCAATAAAAAACTTATCTTCAGTTGAGGATTTTAAAAAAAGAGAATACCCTAGGAAAAAAAGTATGATGGCTAAGTTTTTTATTCTACTTTTTAAAAAAAAAAATCATACTGGATGTTCTGCGAGATTTTATCCAAACTACCACTTACACAAGCAACATCAAGTGGACAAACACACTCACTGACTCTAATACTTCCTATTCCCACGCTAAACCTTCTTCTGAAACTTGAATATAATTCCTCAAACAAAAAAGTTAAATAAAACATATAGTTTGATCTATTGTTGCCCTCAAGTAATATGATGACATTAAGCCACCATGTCACCACGGATTCAATTCTACCGTAGTAGAAGAGATTACCTGCACCATAGCAGTGAGTCTAAGGATACTCACCATTTTTAGTAATTATGGACAAATCTATTGTTTGTGGTTTACACTTGGTGTGACACCCTGAGGATGTCCAGAGATGATTCCAGAGGAAAAGCGTTCCTAAAGCTTTCCTATACACAGGCTAGAAGTCAGGATGGAGACGGAGATAAACAGAGGATAGCCTAGAGCTTCGTAGGCTATTTAAAATAACTCGATTTAAAATAATTTAGAATCATTTCAAAGTGGCCCAAGGGACATGCAACTACAGAGGAAATGTACCGGACAAATGCTCCGGAAGGCCTCAGACACGCACGAAATCACACCAGCCCCGCCAGGGCGCCCGGACTCACGTGAGGGGCACCGCGCTCGTTTTTTGCCGTCTTCTGCTTTTCAGGGCCCGGAGTCTATCTCCTTGCGTCACGCCGTAGCCTTCGTCGTCGTCGCTGTACTGCACAAGTAAAAACACACTGAGCCAACCACCCGGCTGCCTGGCTCATGCAGCAGAGCACAGCAGCTACGCTCACCCCCGGGGCACGCACGCCCGCTTCCGGCTGAACTCTAAAATAGCTGCTGCTTTTGAAATAAAGCTACAGGTCACGTTGCGCGACACCCAACCTTCACTTCCACAGACACAGAAGCTAATAGCGCTCCTGCTATAAAACACTGACAGTGAAGAGGCATAATGGGCTTTCAATATTGAAAACATGCTTTTTAAAATTTCACCATCTACTTACCATCACTTAACACAGGACAGCTACCCCTAAACGCTTGGTTCTCTAAAGTTCCCCACGTGGGAACGACCGGTCCCTAGGTCAGCTGTCACAAGGTGTCGGGAAGGGGGTCACTAGGGCCACCGACAGCGCTTCCTTCGCATCCCCTCCCACCAGTGCCCAGTGTGTAAGAACTCCAGTGTCATGGACACATCACCTTGTTCTAACTATTTAGCAGAAAGTTCCTAGAGAGGACTCTACGTATAAAAAATGTGACAATAATCCCTCAAAATGTGCTTTATTACTCGATCTGCAGTTTCCTCCGCGCCCTGAAAGGTTCTCAACGGCATTTAAAGAAATAGCAACAGAGTGACGAGGATGGTTCCATTACCAGCTCAGGTTCTTGCTTGTCGTGATGCTTGTCCCCATGGAGTGAAATGTCGTCCACAGCCAAGAGGAGCTTTGAGACAGCTGCTCTGTGTTTGCCGTTCTCCTGAACCCTTAACTTTTGACGGAAATAGTCTCCTTCCAACCAGAGGTTTGACTGTTTCCTGTCAGAGCATTTAAACAGCATCAAAATACACTTTTTGAGAAAGAGACAAACGAACAAGGTCGTCCTCCTAGACCGTCTGTCGTTATGGAGACTAAGACGTCTACTTCCGATCAGTATCCAGACCCAGCGTTCCCGAGGAATCACCAAAGCCTTCCATCTACTTACGTCACCAAGAACTGCTGCTGAGGCCCAATCACGGAGCCAGGCCTGCAGATCCTGATCCAGGCGATGGCCTCGGCCGCGGTCATCCTGTAATGCTTCATGATGTAGCAGGCTATCAGGGTGCCCGTTCGTCCAAGGCCAGCTAGGACGGGAAACAAGCCAATCAGACCTGGTCCCTGTTGCGAGGGGCGGGCCTGCCTCCCCAAACAGCGGTCCTGGAGTTCGGGCGCGCACTGCCATCACCTGGAGAGGTCTCAAAACACCTCCAGAGAACGGATTTAATGGTCCCACAATGCCGCCTCGACAGAGATTCCTAAAATCCCCCAAATGATTCTTCACACAGCCAAGAATGAAAATCGTGTTCTAAGTGACGACTCTCAGTAAGTACAGTGCTTCTACCCTGAGTTTTCTCTAAATGATAAAATCACATTCCCAAAAACACAGGCTTAAAATCTTGCAAAACTTTCCCCTTCATTCGCCAGTGTTTCTACTGTACTTTTCTACTCGTTTTCACATGATTTTTAAAAACTCTATTGCTGCTATCCTCCTTGACTCTCGCCTAAACTACTCTATTTCATCCTGCGATGGTAATTTTATGTGTCAACCTGGTAGGTGTATTTGGGTGAGAATAGTGGACTTTTGAGTAGGTGGATTACCCTCCATGTGGGTGGGCCTCATTCAATCAGTTGAAGGTATGAACAGAACAAAAAGACTGGCCTCCCCAAGCTAGGAGGGGCTCTCCAGCAGACCGCCTCCAGGCTTCACGCACCACTGGTTCCTCTGGGTCTCCAGCCTGCCAGCCACCCTTGTGTGCGAGCCAATTCCTTACCCTAAATCTCCTTCTATGCATCATACATGTCCTATTGGTTGCTTCTCTGAAAAACCCTCGTTGCTACAGATTTGGTACCATAACCATAACAATACGTAAAGACGCGGGAGTGGCTCTGGCACTGGAATATACAGGCTGCAGGAGTTTCAAGGCTCCTGTAAGAAAACACCCAGACTGCCTTGAAGGAGCTGTCGGCAGGAATATGCACGTTAGCACGGATTCTGGAGCAGACACAGGTGGAAATGAAGACCGTGTTATTGGAAACTAGAAGAAAGGCCATCCTTGTTAGAAAGAGGCAAACTCCTGGCTGCACTGTGTCCGCAGGCTTTGTGGAAAGCAAAACTGTGAGCGGCGGCCTTGGATAGTTAGCAAAGGAGATCATCCGTGCGCGAAGGTTTGAAGGTGCAGCGGGGGTCTCCTTACTGACACGTAAAATACGAGCGGAGGGAGATGAATCCAAGACCTTTTTAAACAAAAACGAACCAGAAACTAAACATTTTGAAAATTCTAGGCCTATCCATACTGTGGAAAGCAAGCACACATGTTCTGAAGACAACACCAATGGTGTGGCTGAACATGCAACTCCATAGACATTACCCATGGATTTAATCACCAGAAGCCAGAAATAGACACAGAGGTGGGCACGGCTGCCACCACCCAGGCCCAGGGGCATGGACCAGGCTACACGATCCATAACGTCAGGGACAAGGCCACCACCAGAGCCAAGGAGGCGGGCCTGCCTCCCCTGCGGGCCTGTGGAATAGATATTGGAGCCAGACAGTATTCTTCGCATTTGACTCCGGGTGGTGGACACACAGTGCAGTACACAGATCTTGTAACACAGGAACCCACACCTGAAACCTATATGATCACTTTAACCAATGTCACCCCAATAAGTTTAATAAAAAAAGGGAAAAGAATAGCTTCCCAAAGCCAAAGGGGGGAAAATTCACCAAAGCTTCTGCACAGCTAAGGGAAAATTAGATGTGACTCATGTGATGGCAACAAGATCATTTTGGTCTCAAATAACATTTTAAAAGGACACTAAGAAGCTGTTATTTAGCCGTGAAAGATTGACAAAAGACGTCTTTCTTCTTACTGACCAGGGAGAAGACGTCTTTTCCCCTGGTTGGGAATAACAAGTCCAGCAGATGCCTGAAAAGAGACATGTCTAAAAATCACTAACCCTCTTCCTCCTCCTCCTCCTAGCCCCTTCCCTCCCGGAATTGTTCGGAAGAAATTCCTTTATTAAGCACCTAAAGCGTGCTAAGTTTCAAAGGACAGATTTAGCAGCCAATTGAATAGCATGATTCAGATACAGTATTTCAGAGGTTGACAAAATTTTCCCGTTTCTTTTACAACTATTCAACTCTGCTGTTTTAGCAAAAAGCAGCCAAAGACAATATATAAATAAATATGTATGACTGTGTTCCGATAAAACTTAATTTATGGACACAAATTGGAAGTCCATATAATTTTCATGTCACCAAAAATTATTCCTCTTTTGATTTTGTCTAACCATTTAAAATGTAAAACCAGCTTCATTTCATGCACAAAAGCTGGCAGTGGGCCAGGTGTAGTCTGTGGGGCTGTGATCTGCATACCCCTGCACAACTGAGTGAGAAAACAGGGTGCGGAACTGTGTTTACAGCATGGTTTTCTGTAACTCAAAAACGGAGGCCTACAGATGAACAAAAGGCTGGAATAAATTTATAAAACGCAGCTGTACTGTTATGCTGAGATTATGGTTGATTTTACTCCCTTTACTTTTTGGTGGTTTCCAATTTTATTGCTGGCAATATTTTACTTTAATGATGGAAATAAAACATTTTGAAAGAATTAAAAGAAAAAGAAGAGCATTCGTCTCAAGCCGGAAGATTTAGGGCATTTGCTCTGCGAGGTCTAGACTGTCACCCGTTTCTTCTTTCTAATTCCTCCCATTCGGAATGCGAATGCCTGTCCCACCACTGCATTTTGGAAGAACATGACTGGTCTGCTGTCCCAGGCTCACAGCTGGGGAGGAATTCTGAAAGTCACCCGGAGCTGACTTAGACGATCGGCCTGAGACTTTCAACTTGGACTGACCACGGAATGAGTTAAGACTCTGGGGGCGGCTGTTGGGATGGAGTGAATGGTCATATTTATGTGTGAGAATGTTGAGTACTGGGTAGCCAGAGAGTAGAATGTTATGGACTGAATTATGTGTCTCCTCCCCCTCCTTCCCCCCAAATCCATAGTATGTTGAAGTCCTCTGTCCCACATGACAGTCTCTGGAAAAAGAACTTTATGAAGGTAATTAAGGTTAAATAAGGCCCCGGCGGGCACTTAGTCCAATAGGACTGGTGCTCCGATGACATGAGGAAGCGCACCAGGAGTGAGTGTACACAGGAGACAGAGAAGGCGGCTGTCGGCTGCCAGGGCAGCTTGCCCAGACACCTACCCGCCAGCACCTTGAACGTGGACTTCTAACCTCCAAAACTGTGAGAAAATAAATGCCTGCTGTTTGACACAGTCTGTGGTATTGTTATGGTGCCCCAAACACATTAATGCACTTCCTCATCAACCTCACGTTTCACTTGAAAATCCCATCTTCACACTGTCATCAGTTTTCTTCCCAAAACAAAGATCTGATTATATCAAATCCTCTTCTGGTTTTTAACGGGTCCCCAGGCCACTTCTGGGTTTCACTACTGACATTTAGGGCCAGATAATGCTTTGCTGCCAGTGCGGGCCTGTGTGTTTTAAGATGTTCAGGGGCATCCCTGGCCTCCACTCTCTAGATGCCAGGAACACCCCTCCCCCTAGTTGTGAAAACCAAAAGAATGCCTTGTGACACTGCCAAATGACCTGGGGACCACAAACCACCCCAAAGGAACACCTCAGGTTATATTGCTTATTATAATTTTTAAAACATGAAATAACCCATGCTGAATTTTGTTTGTTTAAATTATTCATTACTTAAAGTTGTGATAAAATGCATATAACATAAAACTTTCCACTTTAACCATTTTTGTGGATGTACAGTGGGGCCTTGACTTACCAATTTAATTCGTTCCGAGACCGAGCTCGTTAAGGAGCTCGTTAACTCAAATCACTCTGTCAACTCAATGCAAAAAATCGGCCGAGAGACAGCTGGTGTCTCAAAAAACTCGTTAGTCGGGACACTCCTAAGTCAAGGCCCCACTGTATCATTTTCCTCATTTCATTTACTTCTGTTTCCTTTTAGCTCACTGAGCGTTTTTCAGACAGCCATGTTAGATTCTTTGTCGGGCAATTCAAAGACCTATGTTTCTTTGGGGCCAGTTTCTGGAGATGGTTTTAACTGTTTGCAAGTGTACAATCCAGTGGCACTGAAACACCTCACACTGCTGTGCAATCATTATCAATGTCCCCCGTGTATGTGAGACGACAGTGCTTCCGTTGGTGGGCAGGGTAGGGTGCTCCTAGGCTCAGAGATGTGGCTGGTTTATTGTGGTGGTCAAGTCCTGCATTTCTTTACTTATCTTCTGTCTGGTTTTTCTACCCATATTGAAAGTGGGATATTAACATTTCCAACTAGTACTGGACAATTATTTTTCCCTTCAATTCTGTCCAATTTTCTTTCCCATATTCTGAAGGTCTATTAGACATGTAAAATGTTTGTAAGTGTTCTATCTCCTTACCGTATTGAACCTTTATTAATATATAATGCCCCTTTTTGACTCATAACCTTTCATTAAAGTCTCTTTTGTCTGATATCCGTATAATCGCCTTTGCCCATCCTTTCACTTTCAATCTATTTGTGTCTTTGAATCTAAAATTGATTCTCTTTTATTTTTTAAGCCATTCTTCCAATCTCATCTTTTGATTAGAGAGTTTACAGCTTAAGTAACAGTAATATCAGCCATTATAAGTGTCCAATGCATTTACTTTGACCAGAGATCTGTATTTTTCAGATAGCTTCTAGTGACTAGTTAGTGTCCTTCCATTCAACCTTTAGCTTTTCTTGCACGTCAAGCCCAGTGGTAGCAAACTCCCTCACCTTTTAGTTATCTGGGAATGTCTTAATTTCACCCCATTTTTGAGAAAAGGTTTAGCCAGATGCACTGACTACCAAATGTCCCCAAACAGTACACACACTAACAGCTGAGCTCAGTTGATGTTTCTCTTCAGCCAGGTAAGCTTTGAACAAAGGAATTTCATCCTAAAATGCTACTGGAAGATGGAAAACACAGTTGAAGTACAAACTTTGCCTTTATAATTATTTGCAGTGTGTACACCCTATGTCCCCCAAAATGTATGCACACTTTAACAGCTGATAACTCACTTCATTTTCATTCCTTTTTAGGTTTAACTGATTTAAAATAACGGGTGAGGCCAGACTAAGCTTTGAACAAAGAAAAATTATCCACTAGACTCTTTTATGGGGATACATAAAATATAAAGTTTATGTTACAAAACAAGAAACAGTTGACAAATCAAGGGCACACAAATACTGAACAAAATGATTCTTGATGTTTGTGATTCCATTGCTTCACATTATTAGCAGTGCCTGGACCAGAACAGTCATCAGTTTGAAAACAGGGGTTGACAAAAAATATTATTCATTCTATAGCTTCTTTTAAATTTTAAAAATGAACTGTATGTTAATAAAAACTGACTTTATAATCATTCAAAGTGTGTATACATTTTTTGGGACACCCTATAGATCAACCTTCCGATGAGAAATCTATTGACATCTTACTGGAGTCCCTTGAATGTGATAAGTTGATTCTGTTTTACTGTTTCCAAGATTCTCTTTACCTCTGACTTCAGATTGATTGATAATAATGCATCTGGGTGTGGGTCTCAGAGTTTATCTTGCTTGGGGCTCCCTGAGTTTCTTTGATGTTTACATTCATGTTTTTCTTCAAATTTGGGAAACTTTCAGCAATTATTTCTTCAAACAATCTGTCTGCTCTGCTCACTGACATACCCTAGAGCCTACCGAACAGCAGGCATGGAGCAGATTATGTGATGAATAAATGAATACATTTCCATGTGATAAGCCTTTGTAAGGCTATGAACACAATTTAACTTGCTATACTTTTCATATGAAATTAGGGTTTTAAAGCATTCTTTATATGTAGAGCTTTTTTATGTCAATAAAACCACAATAAAGTGGGTTTAAGAAAAAAGCAACTTATGCCCAGCCAATGTGACTCAGTTGGTTGGGCACCCCCCTCCCGGGCACCAAAAGCTGGTGGGTGCCATTTCATGCCAGGGCACATGCCCGGGCTTTGGGCTCGACCCCCAGTAGGGGGCATACAGGATGCAGCTGATTGATGTTTCTCTATCATCAATGTTTTTATCTCTTTCTTCCTCTCCCTTCCTCCCTGTGAAATCAATTAAAAAATCTAAAAACAAGCAACTTAAAAAAAAAAACCTTCTGTAACCACAAAAGCAGCTTCGTGTGTCCTAGCACATCATCTAATGACCATGGTATATACACAAACATACTCACACATCTACACATACATGCCCACCACTCGTTAACCAGCCCTACAGACATACCTTTACAATGCACTGCAATGGCGCCCTCGGCACTTTCACATATATCCAGAAATTCTTTGACGATCGCATCAGTAGGGGTGCTGCCATCCGCAAAGAAAAGATCATAGTGATCGAAACCAGCATTCGTAAATTGTTTGGCATTATACATCCTTTTATTCAGACGGATAATGGTAGTAACGTTGTGATTCTTAAAATAGGGAATGTAAGCCTCAGGAGAATGCTGGTAGTAACCTACATGAAGAAATTACCAAACGCTGTAAAATGCAGAAGGAAAACAATGGTAACAATTTCATCTGTAATTGTGTGGAAACAGTGTCTAGACTGGACATTGAATACCAATCTACAATAATAAAAGCATAATATGCTAATTAGACCAGACAGCCGGACGTCCTTCTGGATGAAGCTGCTGCAGCGGGGACAGAGGCAGAAGCAGTTAGGGGAGATCAGGCAGGCAGGCGAGTGGTTAGGGGCAATCAGGCAGGCAGAGGCGGTTAGAGGCTATCAGGCAGGCAGGTGAGCGGTTAGGGGCGATCAGGCAGGCAGGCAGGCAAGTGAGCAGTTATGGGTGATAAGGCAGGCAGGCAGGCAGGCAGGCAGAGTGGTTACAGGCAATCAGACAGGCAGGCGAGCAGTTAGGGGCTATCAGGCAGGCAGGTGAGCAGTTAGGAGCCAGCAGTCCCCGAATGTGAGAGGGATGTCCCAGATTGTGAGAGGGTGCAGGCCCGGCTGAGGAACAACACCCCTCACCTCCCTCCGCCCCCGTCCCTGTGCATGAATTTCATGCACCGGGCCTCTACTTTGATTATAAGTGTAAAAAAATAAATTAAATAAAGTTAAATTCAGGCAGAATAATGTACTGAAATGATCAAGTACCTTAGTTAAACTCTTAGGCCTCTTAAAAAAAAAAAAGAAAAAAAAAAGATGGATACTTTTAATAAGAAAACTACCCGGGTCCCATATTTTTGCATACCATTTTCAAGTCTGGTTTTTGAATAAGGTCCACAGAAGGCAATGAATCGGCCTGGTATTATCCAATTTAAATCTCCATTTTCTGCTTTCTGCAAAGAGACCGGCATGATTCATTTTTAGACTTAATCTCTCCACACCCCTTCTCAATATTGAATGCCTGCTGAACTTCAAATCCATTTGCTTTAGCACAAATGCTGTTTATAAATGATGAGGCAGGACACTAAATTTGAGCCTGCTCTGAATATTCCAGAGAAGAGTCAGTTGACTTTTTCTGGTCCTAATCACTTTCTCTTAAGTGTTTTTTGCTTGGGTAGTCAGCCTTCAGAAAGCAACTGACTGCTGGTATCTAAAATATACCTAAGCACTTTGGTGATTTTATCCAAGTAAATTCTCATATAGTTGCTACTAATTAATATAAAAGTAAACTTTTCCATTCGGAGTGATCTGGAAACTTCCATTTCCCTGAATGACTAACTGGCTTCCAATATGAGCAATCTTGACTCATTGAACAAAGGAGAAAAAAGTATCTATTCAGGCTCTGGGACTTTCGATATTTACTTTTTATTTGTAGAAACATGTCTGCATCATGTTGCTAACTATTTAATAAGAAGGTCGCTGAAAATTTTTTACTAAACCACCAGGAAATTTGAAATTGTAAGTATACTAGGATCACTGTAGGTCTCTAGAAAAAAACTGAAATTTAAAACACTTTACTTCCTGTTATTAAGTCCTTTCCATAACAATTATTATAAGATAAATAGAATTCAAATTTAACAACAATAGAAATGATTACACAAGGACTTGAGCAGAAAGTAGGAGACACTTGAGATCGAAGAAGAAAACTAATGATAAAAATAAGGTCAGTTAGTTTTGCTGGGCGTGTATATGTGTACCTAAGACTAAGTAAGAAATGTACTGAGTTGCTTGAACATCACAGGCCAGGCCCATAACCTAAAACCAAGTTACTTAATTATCACGGAGAAGAATTGGCGAGCCCATGTTCCATGCTAACAGGCCTAAATGGGAATGAGGAAAGTGTTGCCAGGTATTCTGATTTTCAAGTGAAGACAGAAATCTGAAGTTTTTTAACAAGAAACCTGCAGTTAGATTCCATTGAATCATAGGTGATTATCAAATGCATCCTGAATTCAGAGAA